CCTGCGGACTGAAGGGTCCCAGGTTCGATCCTGGTTAAGGGCATGCACCTTGGTTGTGGGCACATCCCCAGTAGGAGGTGTGCAGGAGGCAGCTGATCGATGTTTCTCTCTCATCGGTGTTTCTAACTCTCTATCCCTCTCCTTCCTTCCTGTAAAAAATCAATAAAATATATTTAAAAATAAAAAAATAAAATATATTTTAAAAAATAAAAATAAAAATCTGAACATCACCACCATCTCTCTTTCTTTTATCCTATCAAAAACCATTTGGCTGTGCCCTGGCTGGTGTGGCTCAGCTGGTTGGAGCATTGTCCTGTGGCACTGAAAGGTTTTGGGTTCGATCCCCGGATTGATGTTTTCTCTCTCTCTAAAATCAGTAAAACATATCCTCGAGTGAGGATTAATAAAAAGAAAAAAAACAACATTTGGCTGTTAACTATTTGGATAACATATCTGCAGGTCCTGTTTTTCTACTTTCAAAATAGTCTTTATTGTGTTACTTTAAAATGGAAATGCCAGCCCTGGCTGATTTTGCTCAGTGGTTTGAGCGTCTGCCCTCAGACCAGAGGGTCTCAGGTTTGATTCCTGGTCAAGGGCACATACCTCAGTTGCAGGTTAGATCCCCAGCCCAGGCTATGGTCGGGGCACGTGTGGGAGGCAACCAGTCAATGTGTCTCTCTCACATCGATGTTTCGCTCTCTCTCTCCCCCTCCTCCCTCCCTTCCACTCTCTCTAAAGATCAATGGAAAAGTATCCTCATGTAAGGATTAACAACAACAACAAAAACGTAAACCAGATCATTTCACTCTGTTTATGAACTCTAATGGCTTCTCATCTTACAGGGGAAAAAAGCTGATAGATTTCATTATCTCACAATTTTAAATAAATACAGTTACATGTGGCTACCTACCATGCTCTGATATAGGGTGACCATATAATTTATTGTCCAAATTGGACACTTACAAGAGAAAAGGGGAGCTCTATTAACAAACAATAAACATAAACTGGAATGGACCCAGATATTTGGAACATACTCTCACTTCCATTTAGGTCTTTTAAAAATGTCACCTGTACACCTGAAACTAGCACAAAATAAGGTTGAATGCAAACTGTAGTTAAATAAAATTTTTAAAAATGTCACTTTCTTTGACCTGTATTTAAAGTTGCAATACAGTCCTGCCCCTGTACCATTATGCTTGTGCGGGATTTATTTTTCTCCATGGTGCTATCACCATCTTGATCTCCCCTCTCTAGAATGTACACTTCAAGAGGGCAGTTTTTTTTTTTTAAGTCTCTGTTGTTCAACATACTATATCCCCAGCATCTAAATCATCCTGGACACTGTAGGTGGTCAGTAAATATTTGGTGAATAAAGTACGAAAATACAAGATTAAGTTCAGGCCTCTGTTTTTCCCAGAAAGAGCTCACGTGGATGTAGCAGAAAGACTAAAAAGGGAAACCTAGAGAAGCTTCTGAGTCCTCATCATTGTATCAGTTTGGAGCCCAGGAAGCCTTGGCAGGCAGTTGTATTGTAGAGATACAAAAGGAAATTCCCATAGGCACAGCCTTACTTCAGAATGCAAAGTCCTTTGCAATCTGATGGATATGAATTAGCCTCCTGGTCTCATTTCCCCTGAGATACATGTGTATAGCCTCTGTGCCTCAGAAACTTCCAGCACGTTCACAGTCTAACCTTGCAAGGCTGACCTTGATGTCCCCATCTCCAAAGCCTTTCTGAGGACTCTCAGTCAAGATTCGTCTCCTTCTTCTCTGGTTCCTATTACCAATTGTTTATAATTCTGTTATAGCATAACACTTGAAAAAAATGTATCTTCATACATATCTCCCTCTCTCCCTTTGAGGCAGGGACTCTGACTCATTCCTGTTCCGAGGAGGGAAGGACTGATGCGTCCATTTCCCCGCCCTCAGTCCTGCAGAGCTTGGCACATGGTGGAGTCTCACCTTTGCTGAGTAGCATTGATTCTGGTTAATCAGATGAACACATTATACAGTAGAACATGTTACACAATATTCTTCCCCTCCCCATCCTGGGCAGTGACCCGCTTTGTGGCTGGTACACCTTGCTCCTGGCTCAGTCATACTTAGAGCAGGGGGCACTGCTATTTGCTTTTCTTAGTCCTGACTCCAGCATTCTCCCTTTGATCTCCGCCACCCGCCCCGGCTTGCCCCTGCCATTGTCCTGGGCAAGGAGCTAAAGTTTCTCTTTCCCAGACTCAGGCCTCTCTGCACCTCTCTCCCCTAGCACATTCTGCAGACGCTGCCCAAGGAATCAGTGATGACAGGGAATGGCTAGAGAAAGATTAAGGTTATGACTTTTCAGATCCTGAGGCTTCCAGGGAGGGCCAGCTATCTTTTTTTATGTGTTCACTTTTTCCACCATCACTGTCACCTTCACCGTCACCGTCACCGGAGGGAGCTTGTTCCTGGGCTGGATGGAATATATAAGCGGATGATCTGTGATGTGAGGGACTGAGGGTTGTGATCCTGGGAAAAGCTATATTTCCCTTTTTAAAACAATGTTTTATTTTATTTTATTATTGATTTAAGAGGGGAAGAGAGATAGAAACATCAGTGATAGAGAATCATTGATCAGCTGCCTCCTGCATGCCCCCTACTGGGGATCTAGCCCACAACCGGGCATGTGCCCTGACCAGGAATCAAACCATGACCTCCTGGTTCACAGGTCAACACTCAACCACTGAGCCATGCCATTTTAATGCAAATTATGCTATTCAGAGAAGTAAGTAGAGTAGTCATTATATTTATGGGCCCTGAAGTCAGACTGTTTGGATTCTAACCCTGTCCCGTCACTTAATTGCTGTGGCTTCCTCGGGGAAATGGGACATACTATTGCCGACCATGTTCATTTATGCACAAATAGTTATTGCTCCCCTACTGTGGGCCAAGGGAATAGCAGTGAATAAGGCAAAATGGTCTAGCACATATTAAATATCAGCAAATGGACCCGTATTCATTTCCTAGACCTTTGGCAGCAACTGTAGCACCAGATCTCTCTGGGAAGGGGAAAGATAGAGGGAGGGCTAGCATATAGGTTCTAGATTTGGACTCAGATGCAGGTGCAGGACGGCGCTGGCATTAGTGGCCTCTCAGTTCTGACACTTCATTTTGAGACTAAATACATGAACTGGCTACAGATCACCCAGGAAAATGGATGAGTCTGTTTAGTTCCATAGAAAGGGCAGGAGGAGATGACCGTGGCTGTCTGGATTCTACCTAGCCCATTTGTACAAACAGTACAGTGCCAGCCAAGCTGTGTGTGGATGACGCAGAGAGGCCGCATATCTTGAGCAAAATGAAGGGAGATCCTAGAGACCTGAGGTAGAAGGGAGGGCTTTCTGGCTGTGGAGTAGAGGACCTTCTGGGGGAGGAGGTGGCTTGGGGATTGGAGAGCTGAACCTGGAAGGAGAGGAAGGTGAGGTGGAGGTGTGTGGCTTGATAGTTGGCCTTCCTTGTTTCAGTTCTTTCCTCTGATAATGATGCAGAAGACAGCTGTTTTACTCGTAGTGTCATGACTGACTGGAGTAAAGTTTGCACTCACGGCTTCTGATTCATTGTCTGTGGCTTTCAGTGAAAGTCCAAGACTGGTATAATCTTTCTGGTGGGAATCGGGTTAGAGTAGAAATGTATGTTACATTTCCTGGGATCACCAAGAAGGTTTTCCAGCTGCCACTAGAAGATAACTATATAGTCTTGACTATGGTTCACAATTACTTCACTACTTCTCCTGCGATCTCTTCCATCTTTCTCCCACAGTGCATTTTCAGAAATGAATGTCCTTATAGCCCAGAGAAAATGCCCTTGACAAGAGATATGGGCCAATCCACGATTTTTGGGTTGGTTCCCATATGAGCTGCTGGCATGGCTTCCTTGGAGACCTGCTAACTTGGCTGGGAACCATAACAATTTGCATGCATAGGGATAGATGAAGTAGTTCTGGGCCATTTCCAAGTTGCTTAAGTGCAGCCAGGTTTGGGAACACCGGATACCATACTCTTTCATCTCGTTTTTATTGCTCTTTCTTCAGTCTTCAGCATTATTTCACTTCAGTTCAGCCAATATATGAAAGTCAAACTAGGCAAAGCATTTTGCTATGAATATAAATCCACATAGTTCATTCTTTATTGAAGGAAACATAAATATAATGTGATTTTAACAATGTTTTTCAACTTTTTTTTCATTATCACCTCCCTAAGGAACCTTTTAAGACATTTTCTCCTAATCACTCCCCTCAGGAAATCTTAATATTAAAAGGATACCAAAATTCTGTTTATGTTTATATGTATCTGTGCTTTATACTTTAAAGAGTAAGATTGTTTTCACCCCTCAAGAACCAATTTTCACCCCCTTGGGGGCAATATCTGTCATTCGAGTTCATGGATTATGACAAAGCACAGTGGGATTACAGTCGGGAATATAAAATGTCAGTTTAGCCTCCAAAGCTTTGTAAACTGTTTCTCCCATCGGCTCTGACGGAACATCACGACTCCATAATTTTTTCTTGTCCCGCAGTCTGTCATTCCCCTATTGCTGTCACTTCCCTATCCTGGATCCCATCTCTCGTCATTTTTCTCTCTAGTATGGAGGGTTAGGAGTGAATTTAATTAAAATAGTAATCTGTATAGCTCAGGGATAATTTAGGGACAGTGATTTCCTAAAACAGTCCTCTAAAGATCATCCCTTTAGAAGAAAGAGCCTAGAGACCTATGGGGTATTAATGGGAAAACGTAATAGATCTAAATATTGGGGGAAATAAAGATACATATTTGGAAATTGCCTTTCAGAGGAGAAGATTCTCCAAGAGTCCTATGTATTGGTCCCATCAGCCTTGGATATGGGTGCCCTCAGATATGAATCTGACTTCTTTATGTGAATTCTTTCGGGGTTTATGCCAGTGGAATATCAAGTCCCTTTTCTCTAGAAACAATGTAATCAATGACCGCATCTCCTCTCCCCTATAGAAACTACCAGAGGCATGCAGTGTTGGTGATGGGAGACCCTTTGTCACGAATCTACAAAATCTGTATATGGCAGTCACCAGACAAGAGGTCCAAGTGAGACAGAAGCATCAGGACGCTGGTGAGTAGCTCCAGAGGAACTTGGTCTGCCGGGGTTAAAGTTAGGGTCTAGGTTTGTACAGTCTAGGTCTGTGGTAGCTCTAGCTACTTGTGACTATTTAAGTTTAAATTAATAAAACTTAAATAAAATGAAAATGTTATTTTTACTTGCTCTAACCACATTTCAAGTGCTCAGCAGCCGCTAGTGGCTACAAGTTGGACAGCGGAGATACAGACCATTTCTATCACTGCAGAAAGTTCTATTAAACTGATCTAGGCACTTAGGAGAATTAGTAAGAGAACCAGGAGAAAGAGGAATCTCTGTGCCTGAGACATGTCAGGAAATGTGTAGAACAGTTGGCTATTTTGAGTCAAGGAAGCTCTTTTCCTACCTGGTAAAAGTGGGCCTGGGGACTCTTCAGAGTAGAAACAGGGCTTTTTGAAAGGCAGCTGGAAGTTGCATGTGTGGCTACTTCTGTCTGTTTATATATTAACTAGAGGCCCAGTGCACAAAATTCGTGCATGGGGGTGAGGGTGGGGTGGGAATCCCTTAGCCTGGCCTGCACCCTCTCACAATTCAGAATACCTTGGGGGATGCCTGACTGTCGGTTTAGGCCCAGTCCCACAGGGATCCCTGCAGGATTGGGCCTAAACCGGCAGTCGGACATCCCTCTTGCAATCCAGGACCGCTGGCTCCTAACTGCTCGCCTGCCTGCCTGACCACCCCTAACCACTCTCCCTGCCTGCCTCATCGCCCCAACCACTCGCCTACCTGCCTGATTGCCCCTAATCCCTCTGCCTGATCACCCCTAACCACTTGCTTGCCTGCCTCATTGCCCCTAACTGCTCACCTGCCTGCCTGATCACCCCTAACCACTTGCCTGCCTGCCTGATCACCCCTAACTGCCTCTGCCATGGCTCCCACTGCTGCGGCTTCATCCAGAAGGACAGGATGTCCAGAATGATGTCTTGGAGGTTGTTCAGCTGTCCGGTCTAATTAGCATATCATGCTTTTATTATTATAGATACCAGCCCTGGCCTTTGTCAAAATGTCTGGTAAATTCTGATATCTTCCTTGATCTTTCTGAGTTTAGGAGATCCTCAGACCTCAAGTAGTGCTTCTGCACAAGGAACTGATAACCAACTTCTGAACCAGCCAGAAGAGCCAGTTTCCTCAGCACCATCTCTCCCAGTGCCTGACAAAGAACCCACAGTGAGTCCCGAGCAGCTTCCTGGATGGTGTTCTAAGTATTAGAGAAGTCCATAGCCTCCAAGTCTGTGGTCCCTGGAATTGCCACCTAGTTGATGCTGCTTTAATAATATTGGGGGATATTTGTCACCAGGCTTCCAAACTGTGGCTTTCTAGATGGACCTTGACTTCTTTACTATCTTAGCCACTTCCAGTGATGGTCTGTGAGGTTATTCCCTGGAGAGAGGATATATGCGCCTCCTGCATAGGGTCTTTTTTTTAAAAAAGTATTTTTTTATTGATTTTAGAGAGGAAGGGAGAGGGAGAGAGAGATATAAACATCAATGATGAGAGAGAATCATTGATTGGCTGCCTCCTACACGCCTCACACTGGGGATTGAGCCCACAACCCAGGCGTGTGCCTTGACTGGGAATCAAACTGTGACCTCCTGGTTCATAGATCAACTGAGCCTTGCCGGCTGGGCGTCCTGTCTAGGGTCTTTTATCACATAGACTCCAAAACACTGTGTCAACCACCTCAAGAAGGCCTCATCCTAACCAGAGCCGTAGGAGGAAGAAAGGTCCTTTCCTAACTGAAGTGGTCTGTTCAAAACCCCTATTAATTTGGGTTGGTTTTTTCTCTAGGGTACTTCAGGCCCTGTGAAGAGACCTCAGCTGTCCAAGGTCAAGCGGAAGAAGCTAAGGGGGCTCTTCAGTTAAGCCACTGTCTCAACTGCTGAGGATGGACCCAGAGAACAGTTCCTGGTGCAACCTTGAAAGGAGCTCCTGGGGCAGCAGGAACTCTGACATGGTTACATCATCAGAGGCTGGATCACTGAAGTTCATATTCACAGGCCACCTGAATGAGTGCTATTAACTGACAGAATCTTGGCTCCACCCATTGGGCATTGGCCTGTCCCAGTGGAAGCCAGTCTCTGGGAATCCCATACCTTCCTCTCTTTTGGTGGAGGCTCTCTAGACCCACGACCCTACCATGGACTTTAGGTGTATAGAACAAATCAGCAAAAAGGCACAACATGCTTAGGAAGCCTTGCCTGTCTTTCCCTAGCCAATTCCAGGTGCTCCTCAGAGAGGCTTATCAAAGGTCACACAACTAATAAGTAACAGCCAGAATTTGAACCCAGACAGCTGAGTTCCTCATTCTATACGTTACTGAAACCATTTTCCAGGGAGGATGTCAGATCCTTCTTTCCTGTCTTCCACTGTGGCATCCTTCTATGACCCTGCCTACTTTCAATAGGATGTTCTAGTCCTCATTGCTCCTCAAGGCAGGAAACTTTAAAGACTCTGGGACTTACCTCCTTGTCCTTACCTGCTGGTAGAGTCGGAGAGAGTCACCAGGGCTCATCCCAGTAGCTGCTGTTAACTTTCTTTACCTCCAGACCACAGTGTCCTAGGGTGTACCCAGTCGTGACTGTCATTGAAGTGAAGTCATTGGGAACCAGGTAAAATCAATCTATAGATGCCTCATTTTGTTCTTTAGTTTCTTTTTGGCATAATTTAGGTAACCAGGTTTCAGGATCTACAAGATCTGAGACCACATGGGAAAATGGAAAGACTTCCCCAGCAAGCTGGGAGAAAATGTGGGTTCTTCACCTGGATAATCCCTCTGCCTTAAGAGCATAGTCTCCAGCGTCGGCCTTTTTCATCACAGGGGGTTCTGGGGTGTGTGAGTCCCCCCAAATTATAAGTAAAACCCTAGAAGCATAACTTTGTTTCATGTTCTCAAAAGAATGTGTACTTTTTTAAAAGGTTAAGTAAGAATATGCCTAATTTCCTCTCTGTCCACTGCCCACTGTATCCCCAAAAGGCTGCTGTCTCCATGGGAATATTGCCCAAATACAACCTTCTATAAACATTGCTTCCAGAGGTCCTGCCTCAGGCATTCTTGCCTTGAACCTCTTACCCCCAAACCTAGGGGTGGTGGTTGAGAATCTTTCGTCCAGGGCAACTCCAGGGAAATCCCTGCCTTGACAAATTGGCCTAACCAGGCTGTATTCCAGCCCTGCCCCCTGGCTTGGGCCCCTCCCGAAGGCCCCCAGCCTGGCCCAACCCCCACTCCACATGCACATAAAAGGGTCGAATTCTCGTGGCTGCTCCATAAATTTTATTCCGTAAATATTAGTTTTCCCTGTGTTTAATAAAGCAGTGGCCCACCTCCCCGCCTACCCGCCCGCTCCCCGGGGCCGGGGCTGGGGCCAGGGCTGGCTGGTGGGAGAAGGGACTCTTTCAATTGCTTTGGAGTATTTTTAGAAAAAAAAATAATATAAGGTGGTTTACACGAGCCAGCCAGCAAACCAGGAGCAGGACTAGAGACCTCGAGGAAGTTCCTGCAGGAACTTGACCTAAAAAGTAGAGAAATAGCGCCACCTAGGCTGCAAGGCCTACTTGGCCTGGCTGGCCGGCTCACCCCTCCCCCACAGTCAGCTCGGACTGGCCAGCTCTTTGCTGGAAAAGAAATCTTCACTCCTTAGCACTCCAGCTGGGCAGCATCTCCTTTACTCAGGCCTCACAGAGGGCTCTCCCAGCAGTCCTTGAAGGCAGAGCCCAAGCTGGGTCCTGGAAAATCCCACTGGGGTCATTCTCTTTCCTCCCGTGACAGGCAGCCAGTCTCCCAGATCAAGGAGTGTTTCCAAAGGATAGTGACATTATTGAGAAGGTAGGAAGGAGCTCCTAGTCTGTCTTCCCACTGGATCCTGAGGCTCACCCTGGAATTCTTAGGGTGTAAGGTGGCAAAGTGAAATCGGTGCTCCTTGGCTCTGGACTTGGAATCTCTCCCTGTCAGACCTAGGGCCTCCCACCATCGCCTCTAATGCAGGTCCCCACAGTGAGATACTCAAGTCTCCTGCACACGCGGCCCTCCTGCTTCTTCACTTTATCCTGTGGTACATCTGAACCCCCTTTTCTTGCCTTTCTGTTCACTAAAACCTCCCATTTTCCGAAGCCCTTATATCCTCCTCCTCCCTGGTCCTCTGGAGATAAGCAGGAGCCCCATGTGTCACTCTCCATAGGAAGATGGCGGAAGGAGCAGGAATAAAAGGCCGTGCCCCTTCTGGTCCTGATTCAATCTCGTTCTTAACATTGTCACCAGGGCATTTTCTTCTCTCCAATTATTATGTCCCCCATTTTCTCCTAGTTTTTTTTGTTTGTTTTTTTTTAACAGTGTTTTGATACAATCATGAGATGCTTCTCTAACCTTTGAATTTTTCTGAAGAAGAAACTGTTCAAAAGGAGTAAGTGACACACTGCAGGGAAGCCACCATTCTCAGAGCTCAAGGCCCTTGGTTCCTAGTCCCTGGTACCGACATCAGTAAACCTTTGGGCTCACAACCTTGTAATGGATCCTGCCAGGCACTTAGATACAGAGAGAAATGCCAGAGGAGAAGGGAGCCACGGTTTGGAGGAAGGGTTTTTTCTAAGACCTCCTGGAAGCTGCTACTGGGTATGCCTGTTGAAGGCTCCTACTGCTCTATTTTTCATGTTCTCTTGGACAGGGCCTCCACAGATCCACCCCTAAGTGGGAGGGTGTGAGGTGCCTGTGTGTGAGGGCTAGGGACCCGAGGGAATCCCTCTCTACTTGAGAAACCACAAGCCCATCTGGCCTCCATATTTCACCCCACAACTTCAAGGACTACTTTCTCGTCTCCTAAGACTTTGCTTTGGCGGTCCTTTCTGCTTCCCCTCAATTTTGGGGTCTCATGTCTCTACTCCGGCACATGGGAAGTCATTAGATAGCATGACTTCCAGAACATTCTAGCAAAGGCTCGATTACTTTTCCAACCTGTTAAATCCTATCTGCACTCAGTATCTCTATCTGGGGGGGGAGGGGGGACAGCAGGTTTTGCTATGCTCTCCACACTCCCTTTGAATGAATACTCACTTCTCCTCACCTAAGTCTCATGGGTTCCGGAGGCTCTGGGCTAGCCTGGGGGAACCCGGAAGAGGCATTGGAAGAACTCCAGGGTGTGGGGAGCACACAGCCATTGACTCACCTGGGAAGATTGTGCCCGGATTACTTGTCCTGCTGGGCCAAGGGCCAGGAGTTAAAAGAGCATGCAGTACCACACTCTTCCTCCCCTCACTCGGGCCAAAATCAGTAGCAGGGTTAGAATTGGGGACTAAGACTCCGGGGCAGCTTGGAGTCCCTTTTGAAATCTGGGTGTTGTATTTACTTTTTCATATTGGCAGCTGGAAGGGGAAGCCCATCCCAGCTCGGCATTGTTGTCTAACATGGTTAATCAGATCCTATAATCCTGCTGTGGAAATATTGGGCCTCCCTCAAAACAATAGAGACCAAGAATATTGTGGTTAAATTTCAACCAACTGCCTCCCTGGCCTGTTTGCCTAACCTCTACTCCCCTCTCCCGGGCCAGAGTCCTCCTGGCTTTATGGACCCCTGATAGGATCGACAGCGGTCAGAAATCGGTGACAGGAGAAGGGAGAATGGAGTAGGGGAAGGGTAATCCTCTTGATTGGCTCTCTATCCTGCCTGTCCCCTCCCACCCTAGGCCTTGAAGGGTGAGCAGGGAGTGGTGAAAGCAGTTAGAGCTGGTGGGGAAGCCCCGCGGGGTCTGGATCTGTGTTCAGGGGTCAGGGGTCAGGAGCAGTACTTCTGGGAATCTTGGGTGGTAAAGAGTTCCCTTATTCAAGATGGAAAAAGACTGCTGCTGGACCAGGAGGAGACTGCTGCTTCAGTTTATTATGGCTGCCTGGCACTTCTAGGGCACAAGGCAATGCCAGTTTGTCCCATGTCACATGGGAGAAATAGGAAGGCACTTGTTGGGGGAAGGGGAGTTGGCAAAAAGGACTTGTATTTGATGAGTAATCTGGTATAACAACAATATAAGTAACAATATAAATAACTAGAAATTCGTGCACGGGTAGGGTCCCTAGCCTCCCTTCACCCGGCTGCCTGCCACAGCTGCCGGCCCCGCCCCCCTGGTCGAACTCCTGGTTGAATTCCCGGCTGAGGGGACAATTTGCATATTAGGCTTTTATTATATAGGATAGTACTCTGATGATGTGTGGAGTTTTCTGGTAGTGCTAATGTCCACTATGTCCTTTACACTGAGTACAAATTAAACGTGGCAGAATGGGACTAAATAAGTTGTACAGTGACATTGTGAATCAAAAAAGGATGCAATGTCTGGATGGGTGGGGGGAAGGAGGTCCTAATACATGGTGACAGGGAAAGATTTGACTTTGGGTGGTGGGCACACGGTGGAATATGTACAGATCTTGTAACATAGAAACCCACACCTAAAACCTATATATTCATGTTGACCACTGTCACCCCAATCAATTTAATTTAAAAAATAAAGAATGAAAAGGGGGGGAATTAACATGGCGATATGTTCACCAAGAGACAGAGAACATTCCTCTTGCAGATACCTAACTTGTGAAGTCGTCGACTTCTAGATTGTACCGGGCTGTCATGCACCCAGAATGCACTGGGCACAAGTTGCAGCCACACTGTGTTGGAGTGTCAGCAGTCAATGAGGTAAAGCACAGTGAGGCCCCAGCTCCAGCACTGTGGAAAACTGAATGGTCAAAGTGAATGTGCATTTTTAGGATTTAAAAAAAATATGTATTTTATTATTGATTTCAGAGAAGAAGGAAGAGGAAGAGAGAGATAGAAACATCATTGATGAGAGAGAATCATAGATCGGCTGCCTTCTGCATGCCCCACACTGGGATTGAGCCTGCAACCCGGGCATGTGCCCTGACTGCAATCAAACCGTGTCCTCCTGGTTCATAGGTTGACGCTCAACCACTGAACTGCACCACTGGGCTGTTTTTAAGATTTGAAGAATGAAATAGCAGAGTTGTGCCAAATGAAACTTTATTTACTTAATCTATTCATACAAGATGGGGATGGAGGAACAACAAAGAGCACTTGATGTTTCTCACCTAGGGTGCTATGAGATAATTCAGGGACTGACATGGTTCCTGTGGATCATTCATCAAAGCCATTTTAAAGCAGGGACTGCTTGGTGGGGGCTGTGCTTCGTACCACAAAGGCATGTGGAATATAGTTCCTGGGAGTGAGACGCTAAGAGGTATGTTTGTTCAGGAATCTCAAAACTAACTTAATGGCAGACATCAAATGGCACTGTAGCAAATATGAAACTGACATCAAAAGGATCTAATGAGCCCGGCTGGTGTGGCTCAGTGGTTGAAAGTCAACCTATGAACCAGGAGGTCACAGTTCGATTCCTGGTTAGGGCACATTCCCGGTTGCAGACTCAGTCCCACGTGGGGGGCATGCAGGAGGCAGCTGATCAATGATTCTCTCTCATCATTGATGTTTCTTTCTCTCTCTCTCCCTTCCTGTCTGAAATCAATAAAAATATATTTTTTAACAAACATCTAATGATGATGGAAAACATTTCAACAGCTGAGCAACTTGAGTAACTAGTGCGAATAATTCAATGAGAAGAATGATCCCCAATGGAAGCTTCAGAGAATGAGCCATGTTCCTGACTGAGAGGGGGAATGAAGAGGCCAAACTAGTTCGTTTAACCTTATGCTACACATAGACTTGAACTGCAGATGGGAAAGTCCAACAGGAAAATCCTGGGTCACTACAAAGGAATTCAAAGGAGTGCTACAGGCTTGTAGGAAATGTGTGGGGAATGAGATTGAAAAATCCATATTCAAGCCCTAGCTGGTTTGGCTCAGTGGATAGAGCATCATCCTGTGGACCGAGGGGTCTCAGGTTTGATTCCGGTCAAAGGCAGGTACCTAAGTTGCAGGCTCCTCCCTGGCCCGGGCCCTGGTCAGGGTGCGTGCAGGAGGCAACCAATTGATGTGTTTCTCTCATATCAATATTCTCTCTGTCTTTCCCTCTCTCTTCCACTCTCTCTAAAAATCAATGGAAAAATATCTTCGGTGAAGATTTAAAAAAACATAAAATAAATCCATATTCAACAAGAAACAGGAATAATTAAAAATGCATTTACTCAAGTCATAAATATACTCACTAGCATCTCACCAATTGACGTTATGCTACATATATATGTACATGCATACATATATATGGCCACAAAGACATACTCCTGCTTTCAAGGAAACTACAATTCAAAGATGATTTTAAAAGGTTAGATTTTTTTTCCTAAAAATTTTTCAAGCATATGAAGTACGAAGTGAGAGTCATGACTATGTATCTCTTTTTTAACAAGTTTAAAAGAATTGTATGTATAAGTGCTATTTGTTACCTGCTTTTACTTTTGCTTAACTATATTGTGTCTATATTTGCATGTAACACAAAGTTCTTTAAAGGGTACATTATCTTCATGCTGAGCTTTATAAAAAGTTTGAAAAACACCCTCCTCATCATAAAGGAGAGTCAAGCTTACTCACTCCATTCTCCCTGTAGCTTCATCTTCCACCACGCTGGTCTCCTTGCCACTTCTATAATATGCAGGCATGTTCAAGCCTTTGCTCTATGCAGTTCTCTCTACTAGAATGCTCTTCCCCCAGTTAACCTCTTAGTTGAAGGCTCACCTCTATCAGGTCTTTGCTTAAGTCCCACCTTCTTACTGAGGCCTCCACTGACCACCCTGCCTGGCAGAACACCTGCTTCCTGACCTTTCACCCTCTTCCCACAAGCTGGCGGTGTGCTTCCAACCCTTTTACACCATCTTTGTGTTTTGTGTTCATAGTCTTTCCTTAATCCCTTCTAAACCATTCTAGATTTTACTTATTTTTATATTTATGTGTGATTACCGGTCTCCCCACGGCCTCCCACTTGAATAAAGCCCCGTAGGAGCAGAAATCTAGGCTTTTGTTCTTATTGTTCTCTCACACCCAAGCACTGCGAGCAGTGTCTGGCACGTAGTAGGTGCTCAAAAATAGTTGTTGACTGAATAAATGAAGAGATTGTCTCTCTTACACGCACACCAATGCACACATCTGCTCACACCAGCAGCATCTTGAAGTGGTTTTAGAAATTTGTGGAGATAAATGGATGTAATCTTTGTTGTTTGCAGCAACCAGTTGTAAAGTGAGAGTCGGGCTTAAATATCATTTTGTTAGTTATAGCCATAAGGGGAC